AGCGCGCTTGAAGAAGAGCTTTACCTTTCGACGGTGCAAAGCTTAGCCCGAATCTATTGACAGCCAGAGCTAATTGTTCCAGTGCAGCCTGACACGTTTATGAGCTGTCTCGTATTAGGGAAATGCCCTCGGCATACTCCAAGTCAAGAAATCGGTCGGTCTTGGTATGCTAGTCATTTGTCTTATGTTTCTATTCACCTGCAATCGCGGGGCGGCGCTCTGGTGAAGTCGCTAAGTCTATGCTCAAGCAGGAGAAAAATGTCAGTTCATCCATTTCTATTGGAGCTCACGATCCTCCCTAAGACTAGATGCATCAACGTGCGAACTTTGTTACAGATTGGGCAACGGGCAGCACTTACCCGAACACTAGAGACCCCATCGATCGACATCTGCTGTTTATCGGAAACCCGTCTACAATAGTTGAGCTCTTTGCTTACACTGCGATCTCCCACATGGGATACTTGCGGTACTTTCACATTGCGCTTGCTCGGAGATGATGCATTGCTTTGAGCCCCTGGGCTGAAGCTGCGGTTATGGATGAATCCCAGTGAACAGGAGGATGTGCGCTATTAGATTAGCTTGCTCATTCAAAGCTTCAAAGTAGCGCGTAGGCAAACTTCTTGTTTGTCATTGCGACCTACACGCCCACAAACTGTAACACGGACTCAGTTGAAAGATGACATCTATCACAGAAAAAGTGTGCATACTGTGATGTTTGGTGATCTGAACACCCAAGTTGAAATGCTGACCACTGATGCGCTGCATCTGGGCGGCCAGCATGGTGTAGGTTCCCGTAATGATGACGTTGGGCGGTGGTTACTCCTATGTGAAGATGTCCGTCTATTTTTCGCGTACAGCACTCACTGAAGGGTGGCATGGCGCTCACCATACTTTGACAAGCAGTGGACACAAACCGATCACAACGCTATGTTACCGTTGGAGAGGTTGGGTTAAAAACGGCATATTCCAAATAATAAAACTCATATACTTAACATGCTTTTCCAGTTCTAAGCTCCGAATGGGCACAAGATATTCCTTGGCGTCCTGACATTGGGATTTTGTATTTCATAGGAAAAATATCTTAGGATTTACATGACCCATTAGGTGTGAAGAAATAGAGTCGGGTCATATGGAAGGACCAAGTAACCTTATAGCGGGTTGGATTCGCGTTTTAGCCATATCTTCATCGGGCTTATGTGGCATTTGAGGAGAATGTACGCCGGCTCGAAGCGTGACACCCCACCACGCCCTCTGATACAACTAGGGAAAGAAAAACAGTAGCGTAAAGGAAAAATGTCCCCCAACATCCTGTAAAGCGGGAGCGTTGGGGTGGAGCAACACGCTGTTGTGCCTAGTGAGAAGTGGCAGGGAGATGACTGGGGCTAGTCTGGTGTATGGTATTCCAAACTGCAGGTAGTTGTCTCAGGGGAGATCACGATGCAGGTCGGCAAGATGACGGTCCAGGCGAGTCTTGAAATCATCCACAGAAGATGCCGAGATTACGTCGGTAGGCAGGGCATCCCACGTTTGGCAGACTCGCAGAGCGAAGAAATGTCGCCTGCAATTCACCCGGCTGTGCTGATGTGTGAGCCGGTGTGGGTGAACACAAAGATGGGAGCATGAGTGATGCAGTTTCAGTAAGTGGCGACAGGAGTGTCCAGGGTTGGATAGGATTGCAGATAGGAAGATCAAGTCGCCCCGAAGTCGTCGGTATTTCATGGATAAGTGACCAAGGCGACGGAGCCGTTGTGAATAATCCAAGTGTCTGAGACCCCGTACCAAGTTTGTCGACCAACATTGGGGGACTTCAAGCATACGCTGGTTTTTGAGTAACTAGGGGCTCCAAGTCTGCATAGCAAACTCAAAGTGAGGACGTAGGAAGGCATTTAATAGGAGGTGGAAATTCCGTAGGTCAATCTGGCCGAAGGCACGTTTTAACAGTCCAAGCATGCGGTTAGCAGCAGAGGCTGCTTTTCGGCAGGAAGCAGATACTGAAAGCTTGGTTTGAGTGATGATACCCAAATCTCTTTCAGCGAAAGAGATCTAGAGGGAAGACTCTTCCAGGAAGTATATTGGAGAACCGGAGGAGCGGGTGAAGACGCGACATTTCGAAGAGTTAAATAGGAGGTTATTTTCCAGTGACCACTGGTGCATACAGTTGAAGTCTCTCTGAAGTGCGCGGGTATCGTCTGGAGCATTGATCATGCGTCACAGCCTCGCGTCGTCGGCGTAGAGCAGCATCAAGGACTCGAGTTGTGTTTTGATCTCATCGATGAGGTATAGGAAGTATTCCGGCCCAAGAACAGACCCCTGTGGAACTCTGCTTTTCACAGGAATACGGGAGGACAGCTGTCGGTCTGTGCGTACTTAGACGGTACGTTGGTGACGGAGAGCATGTATGGACGAGACCAAAGTTTCTTTACTTTGGGTGAAAGATTAAAAGGAATTGTATGGTGATTAGGGAAACATTAAAACAGACACCAAACCGTATAAACATCGCATTTAATTTAAGCTGAAACCATTTTTATACATTGTGGCATTATCAACAAGAATGGTGAAAGACGCAGGTGCTTATTCATTTTCAGCTCGTACATGTTGATGAGGTGAGGATGTGGTTAATATATTGGTCAACCGGCTCAGGCATTTTGGTTTGACTGCGCTAGGCGTATGTAACTAAGAGGGAAAACGAAAAAAGTAATATTCTAAATAGGGATGAAGATGTAAACAGAATCAGTTAGCTTCTCTTTGCTGGCTGACATGTTTGTATGAGGGAAAACTCGGGGTACTGAGACCCGAATAAGACTGGCATAATTGTGCTAGATTTAGAAGCTGGTTTAAATAGGGATGCTTCACTGGATTGACAAGACTAAGCAGTAGGGTTGCTGGCGGTAGGTTCCAGCCGTGGCCAAAAAATAGTGTGGTAGAGTCGCGGTTTGCACTTGTTGGTCACCGGTAAAACTACTTGAGCAGCAGATGCTACGGTGTGTTCCATCAAACATGTGGTTTTCCATAGCTTGTTTTCTTGTAATGTAAAGGTTAGATCATTAAATGGAATGAGCCGTCTCAGGGCCTGACATTGGGATACATGGATTTTTGTCATAAGAATCAGCTAAACGGAAGAGCAGTAGAGCGAGGTGCTCCGCAAATGATGCCTGTAAACATATCGTCCCGTTGTCTAGAGGATTACCAGCCTGCCTTGTTATACGAGGGCGCGAGTTCGAGCCTGAATAGGGGACCAGGCGAAATTCGCAGTATCCTTAGCCGATGCACGACTGTTGGTGGTTGCGTGGCAACGTAGCGCCGGAACTGCTGATACCTCTTTATACCAGATAGCAGCCCTTTATTTAACCTTAGGTTCTCCGTAAGTTTTCCTTAGTAAGTATATTCGTAGCTTAGACTTTTCTTGGTCTGATACATTAGTGATGCCGAGATCAACATTATGGGGGCAAACTTCAGTGCGAACATCGGTTTTCAAAGGTGGCTGGTTAAACTTCGTGCTAGAAATATTTGTAGAAATACTCCTTTTTTCTGTACTCTTTCTACTGGAGTCCGATCAGCTGTCGTAATTGTAGTGTTGAAATCACTATTCGCTACGATTACATTCCGGATATTAATAAACAATCGGGTAGCCTAAGGGGCCTTGCACCTTAGTGATATTGGGCAGGTTCTGTGTGCAATTTTCCCATGCCCTACAACGGCATAGTAGCCGACAGAAGTGCGTGTTTTTCTCAATCGGTTGTGATTAGATGAAGATGCCAGCTCTATCCCAGTGTTCATCGCATTGGGTTTTCAGCGGGTCCAGAATATATGTTAGTAGTGTCGCCTTATGGTTGATTCTGTATTCCAGGGCGTTTGCCATCCTCCCCAGTGTTGCACGTGATGCCTAGTCCATTGTTGTTGTTGAGAGGTAAGTGTGTTTTGTGTCTGGTTTCAGCGGAGGGATGCTGTGGTAGTAATGGTCATAATCATCAACAACAGTACATCAAGCATTTGAACTGGTGCTTCGCTGCCGCACAACCGCAACGGCCTACGGAATGAATGACCAGTGTGAGATACGGGGACCATGGCGTAAAATGTAAGCAAACATCCAGGCGCCTACAGCTTGACAACGTGCTATCACAAACAGCTGGCTATGGTGCAGATAAGGCGGCTCTGGCGAGACAGTTCCTTGCGGTTTTCACTGTCTCGCATCATACTTAGTTATTACTCCGGAGATAACTGAGCACCAACCACACTTTAAACAGGCAATTGTGACTGGGTGACGACGTCAATGGCTCCGACTGCGAGCCATGTCCTGTAACGTCTCGAGGCAAATACAAGGCGGGTCACATGGACTCCAGTCTGGGAGGTGAGATGGATCAACAGCACCCGATTTGGTTGTCGGCGACTTGATTTCTCGCTGGCAAGTCAACTTTTGGCCCTCTGGAGCGTTGGGCCAAGCTGCATCCGGGAAACAAAACAAGGCCTCCCTCGGCAAGCGATAACTGGGCATACCGATTACGTGCGCAAGACAACACGACTCATTCAATACTGTATGCGTTTCCAAGCAACTTGCCTTATTATCATTGTATAGCACTCGCCAACGCACACCGTTGTTGCGGACACGCTGGTGCCATCCGACATTAGCAGTGTTTCGTAGGCCGCGATGATCCGAGAGTTGAAGGCGCCTCAGATACTCAGACTGAAGGAGCCTAGTCTCGCTTCCATAGAGTGGGACGGCTCTCTCTGTAGACACGGCATGTTAAACCGAGCGAAACCAACTTCTGACGCTACAGATATCGCAGGTTCAAGAAGACAGTTGTAGGTTTCGCAATACGTGACCTGATTTCAGTGGTTGTGCGTCCATCGTTGCTGATGCAGCTGCCATGGCAGTTGAAATGATCAACTATATCAGGTTCCTCGGTATCGAAGGCCAAGGCGTTATCAAGTTGTTGGTAGGCCCGCAACAATACCTGGCATTTTTAAGGTGCGTAGCGCATGCCAAATGATGGGACCACTCCAGAGAGGTTAGTCAGGGTTGACTTGGTGGCCCCAACATTGTTACACATCAGGACATTCCCGTCGGTTTTATTAGTGGTTTTGTGTGTTTGTTGTGAGTCGATTGACGATGTGATGTTTCCTGTGTGTCTCTGTGATGTGTATCAGTTCTGAGTATGTTAATATTGTGTGCTTTCATTTGTTGTCCGTTTCAGCGTCATTTCGCGTGAATGAGGAAGCGGTTCAGGAACCGGCGGTGAGTATTTGTTTTACATTGTGGCAATGTGTTATGATGATGCCAGCGCTGTGTGTTGTTGTGGTTGAAGTGGATGTGTGTGTTGTTTGTGTTGTGTTGTATCTATCTGTTTGCCCGTTGGTTTTTCTGTCTCCTTGTGGTCACTATGTTTAGTGAGTTGTTTGATTGCTTGTTTTGTTGTTTCCTTGGCTGGTTTATTGATTGGTGCATTCACTGATTAAGGAATCGCTGTGGTACCATGTGGGGACGTGCTTTGTGGGAGTAATTGGTCTTTGGTTGTGGCTATTCTTCTTTATATGTTGTGTGTGTGTGTGTGTGTGTGCGTACTTTGCCTTGTGCGTGCTATGGTCGTATGGGTTTGTCACATCTGCGTATCTCGTGCGTGTTGTGTGGCGGAGGGTGTCGTTGCGATTGCCTTGTTCAGTGATGCTGCATGGTCAAGCGCGCGTGGGTATTTGTGGTGGTTGTGTTCAATTGTCGATGGGATACTTATGTTGTGTGTGTGTGTGTGTGTGTGTGTGTGTGTGTGTGTGTGTGCATTAAAGACATGGGAGGTATGATGTAAGTTTCGTTGTTGTTGTGTTGTTTAGTTGGATGTGCGGGTATTACGTGGACGCTTAATTTGTGTATTAATATTTTGCAGTAATGTATGTTTTCTTGATGTTATGCTAGCAGCGGCAACCCCGGCGAATATTGCGAGGTCGTCGTAATCTGGTTGGATCTGGTGATTTGGCGGAAGGTAAGTGTAATGTTAACTGTTGGGATGCTGTGGAGTGTTTTGTTTGATTTCGCCTTTTTGTGATGATAGGTTTGTTGTTTTGCTTGATGTAATTGTTGTTACGCTTTAGTTGTTGTTTGTTTTTGCTGCGGCTGTGCAGATGGTAGTAGTAGTAGTAGTAGTAGTTGATATGCGTGTTGTGGTCCTTTTTGTCTGTATCATGTGTTCCACTGATGCGACTTTTTTGCCTGTGGTTTTGTTTCAGGGTCTCTGATGCAATTGAGTCTTGGTTCCTCAGGGGTGTTGGATGTCGGTCGGTCAGTGAACAGTGTCGCTACACCAGGTACTGGTGCGTTGGCAGTGGAGTCGCGGCGCTCTTCTGGTAAGACAATTGATATGCGCCTTTGGTGTTGTGTGTTGGGAGTGCGATCACTACCTTTCGTGCGTGCCTGTCCGCTGTGCATCAGTTTCTGTGATCCCACTGCTGCGTGGTTGTGGTTCGGTTGTGTGTGTGTGGATTGTTTTTCCAGATATCTGAGGTCGTAGTCAGTGTGTGGTTTATCGATGTTTAGTCACTGTGATTTGCATGTGTTTACTTGCGTGTGTATTATTGTTGTAATTGCAATTGGAAGTTATATTGTTGTGCTATTTCGCGCTCTGATCTAATGTGTGTGTTGTGTGGAGGTGAGAGAGGATTGTGTTTGTTGTGCCGGCTTTCGTATGGCTGGTATACATGTTTTGTTTTTGGTGCATAGTTACAGTGCAGAAGTTTTGGAGATGAATAGGATCGAGTTAGGTCTTAGATGAATTATTCGTTAGATATATTGGTGGCATGCTACGTTCGTGTTTCTCGGGCACAGCCTTCTTATGCTAACGGTCTGAAAGAACACATCGAATTACCGCATCAAATGGCCTTTGGTATGGAGAAGCATGACTACTGTATGTCCAAAATATAAGTGACGTTGCTCCAGTGACCGGGATTGCTCTTCCGAAATGTGACTTCTACGGATGATGGATGCAATTAACTTATAGACGATAGCGGTCAGTCGGATTCCTCCATGATTGCCTCTTTTGCTGGTTCGCATGATCTACCTACATGTCCGCTGTAGATGGAGATCAGACGAAACACTTTTGGCTTTGGTTTGGTGTTCCATTGCTACTGTGTTCACCGAGCTGGGTAGTTTGGTCGCAGACGTTTCATCACCAGTCGAGGTGATATCAGTGCGTAGAAATAAGCGCTTTCGTAGCAGAAGCTGGCGGAAGGGAAGTCCAGATATGGATGTCGCCATCTACTTCTGTATCGTTTGTGTAGAGTTTTGGAGTCATCAGCTATGGCTTTTTCTGTGCCATAGGCTGCCAAGCGTTGTTGCGACCTCGACGGAATTCTTGCTCTACGATTGGGGCCGGAGGCATAGAGACAGCGTCCTGGTTCCCAGGATGATCCGAGACTTGAAGGTGCTTCAGATACTCAGACTGAAGGAGCCTAGTCTCGCTTCCATAGAGTGGGACGGCCCTCACTTTAGCCTTGTGAACTCGGAATGTCAAACCGAGCGATATCAACTTCTGACGCTACAGGTATCGCAGGTTCAAGAAGACAGTTGTAGATTTCGCAATACGTGACCTGATTTCAGTGGTTGTGCGCCCATCGTTGTATTGTCCCGCTCGTTGTCCAGGTAATGAACCGTTTATATTCGACTTGCAGTTTTGGGTCCATCTGCGCTCTTTCTATCCCATTGGCTGGCATTCGGGATCGATGCATGATGCGCATGTTGATTGGATTGTTTGTGGAGAACCACGCTTCGGGGAATTCCGTCCATGTTTATGTTCCTACTTTGTTCAGTTCGAAGCTATCTTTCTTCATCCACGTGTGCTGAGTGTGTGGTATTGCATAATGCCTTTCGCATTCGTTTCCGTGTTTCTGTATCTCTGTTGATGATTTCCTTCCAGATTGTTCTACATTGCGCTTATCACAATTACTACGTTTATGTACACAGCATACCGCAGTTTTTGCACTTCTTGTTTTTCTCTTAGTTTTGACAGCGTTCTCATAATGGCACTTGGCTTGTGGGCTACCATGATATGATGCTGTTTAAGCAATCTGACTGTCATTTCAGATACGTCCTTCCTATAGGACGAAACGATCTGCTTCTTTGTCGTTGGTATCGGGTCTGTGTTTGTAGGTTTGTGATTTACACATATGCGGATGAAGCTTCGTGAGTTTGCGTTGCGCTGGATCAACTTGTATAGGTACTCCTTTTCCCGTTTCGCTTCTGCAGTACTGCGAAACATTGTTTGTATGCAGCTCATTTTGTAGCATTTTTGGAAATCACTGTTGAAGTTCAGGATTTGATCTCCATGTATACCTTTCCTATAGACCGGTGTGTAGTACGTCATCCATGATTGTGTTCACTAATACATCATGCCAATAAATTGGATGTCGTCCATGGCGCTGTTGAGTTGTAGGTGTAGATCGGGTACTTGAGTACGTTTGAATATCACATGTGTATCGGATTGTTAATTGAAAGTAAATGCTCTTTCAACTTTCGCTTGGCGATTTCCACGATGAGTTCAGACACGGGGATCCCCTGAGTGCACCTTGCTGGTAGATTGAATGGGAACTATGTTTGGAAACGCAAGTGGAGATGTTTGTATATACTGTCGGCCGTAATATTCCGGCGCGATTGTCATCCTCCCCAGTGTTGCACGTGATGTCTAATCCATTGTTGTTGTTGAGAGGTAAGTGTGTTTTGTGTCTGGTTTCAGCGGAGGGATGCTGTGGTAGTAATGGTCATAATCATCAACAACAGTACATCAAGCATTTGAACTGGTGCTTCGCTGCCGCACAACCGCAACGGCCTACGGAATGAATGACCAGTGTGAGATACGGGGACCATGGCGTAAAATGTAAGCAAACATCCAGGCGCCTACAGCTTGACAACGTGCTATCACAAACAGCTGGCTATGGTGCAGATAAAGCGGCTCTGGCGAGACAGTTCCTTGCGGTTTTCACTGTCTCGCATCATACTTAGTTATTACTCCGGAGATAACTGAGCACCAACCACACTTTAAACAGGCGATTTCGACTGGGTGACGACGTCAATGGCTCCGACTGCGAGCCATGTCCTGTAACGTCTCGAGGCAAATACAAGGCGGGTCACATGGACTCCAGTCTGGGAGGTGAGATGGATCAACAGCACCCGATTTGGTTGTCGGCGACTTGTTTTCTCGCTGGCAAGTCAACTTTTGGCCCTCTGGAGCGTTGGGCCAAGCTGCATCCGGGAAACAAAACAAGGCCTCCCTCGACAAGCGATAACTGGGCATACCGATTACGTGCGCGAGACAACACGACTCATTCAATACTGTATGCGTTTCCAAGCAACTTGCCTTATTATCATTGTATAGCACTCGCCAACGCACACCGTTGTTGCGGACACGCTGGTGCCATCCGATATTAGCAGTGTTTCGTATTCCTCAGATACTCAGACTGAAGGAGCCTAGTCTCGCTTCCATAGAGTGGGACGGCTCTCTCTGTAGACACGGCATGTTAAACCGAGCGAAACCAACTTCTGACGCTACAGATATCGCAGGTTCAAGAAGACAGTTGTAGGTTTCGCAATACGTGACCTGATTTCAGTGGTTGTGCGTCCATCGTTGCTGATGCAGCTGCCATGGCAGTTGAAATGATCAACTATATCAGGTTCCTCGGTATCGAAGGCCAAGGCGTTATCAAGTTGTTGGTAGGCCCGCAACAATACCTGGCATTTTTAAGGTGCGTAGCGCATGCCAAATGATGGGACCACTCCAGAGAGGTTAGTCAGGGTTGACTTGGTGGCCCCAAGATTGTTACACATCAGGACATTCCCGTCGGTTTTATTAGTGGTTTTGTGTGTTTGTTGTGAGTCGATTGACGATGTGATGTTTCCTGTGTGTCTCTGTGATGTGTATCAGTTCTGAGTATGTTAATATTGTGTGCTTTCATTTGTTGTCCGTTTCAGCGTCATTTCGCGTGAATGAGGAAGCGGTTCAGGAACCGGCGGTGAGTATTTGTTTTACATTGTGGCAATGTGTTATGATGATGCCAGCGCTGTGTGTTGTTGTGGTTGAAGTGGATGTGTGTGTTGTTTGTGTTGTGTTGTATCTATCTGTTTGCCCGTTGGTTTTTCTGTCTCCTTGTGGTCACTATGTTTAGTGAGTTGTTTGATTGCTTGTTTTGTTGTTTCCTTGGCTGGTTTATTGATTGGTGCATTCACTGATTAAGGAATCGCTGTGGTACCATGTGGGGACGTGCTTTGTGGGAGTAATTGGTCTTTGGTTGTGGCTATTCTTCTTTATATGTTGTGTGTGTGTGTGTGTGTGCGTACTTTGCCTTGTGCGTGCTATGGTCGTATGGGTTTGTCACATCTGCGTATCTCGTGCGTGTTGTGTGGCGGAGGGTGTCGTTGCGATTGCCTTGTTCAGTGATGCTGCATGGTCGAGCGCGCGTGGGTATTTGTGGTGGTTGTGTTCAATTGTCGATGGGATACTTATGTTGTGTGTGTGTGTGTGTGTGTGCATTAAAGACATGGGAGGTATGATGTAAGTTTCGTTGTTGTTGTGTTGTTTAGTTGGATGTGCGGGTATTACGTGGACGCTTAATTTGTGTATTAATATTTTGCAGTAATGTATGTTTTCTTGATGTTATGCTAGCAGCGGCAACCCCGGCGAATATTGCGAGGTCGTCGTAATCTGGTTGGATCTGGTGATTTGGCGGAAGGTAAGTGTAATATTAATTGTTGGGATGCTGTGGAGTGTTTTGTTTGATTTCGCCTTTTGGTGATGATCGGTTTGTTGTTTTGCTTGATGTAATTGTTGTTACGCTTTAGTTGTTGTTTGTTTTTGCTGCGGCTGTGCAGATGGTAGTAGTAGTAGTAGTAGTAGTTGATATGCGTGTTGTGGTCCTTTTTGTCTGTATCATGTGTTCCACTGATGCGACTTTTTTGCCTGTGGTTTTGTTTCAGGGTCTCAGATGCAATTGAGTCTTGGTTCCTCAGGGGTGTTGGATGTCGGTCGGTCAGTGAACAGTGTCGCTACACCAGGTACTGGTGCGTTGGCAGTGAAGTCGCGGCGCTCTTCTGGTAAGACAATTGATATGCGCCTTTGGTGTTGTGTGTTGGGAGTGCGATCACTACCTTTCGTGCGTGCCTGTCCGCTGTGCATCAGTTTCTGTGATCCCACTGCTGCGTGGTTGTGGTTCGGTTGTGTGTGTGTGGATTGTTTTTCCAGATATCTGAGGTCGTAGTCAGTGTGTGGTTTATCGATGTTTAGTCACTGTGATTTGCATGTGTTTACTTGCGTGTGTATTATTGTTGTAATTGCAATTGGAAGTTATATTGTTGTGCTATTTCGCGCTCTGATCTAATGTGTGTGTGTGTGTTGTGTGGAGGTGAGAGAGGATTGTGTTTGTTGTGTCGGCTTTCGTATGGCGTGTTGGCGATGAGTAGGATCGAGCTGCTTTGTGAGATGTTTGCTGATTGTGGTGCTGTTTGGGGATAAGGTCACAGGCGGTGGGTCCAACTCGGAGGTGTGCGCGTGTATTTTTGTGGTGTTTTGATTCTAGGTGGATGGATTTGAAGAATAGGGTTGCTGGCATATTGTTGGTTGTTGGGGTGTTGTCATTGGTGTCGTATGTTGGTGACAATGAGAGACTGTTGGTACACTTCCAAGGGTTCATGTTTGTGTCACGATGCGGGGTGAGTATTTTATGTGTGCCTTACTGTTACATTATTGAGGATTGGCGAACCGTTCCTGATCATTGCTCGTCATTGCCACAGCGTGTATGGCTGGGGAGTGTGATTGTGGCACTTGTTGACTGTTCCATGGTGTTGTGTGGATTATACTTGCGGGGTAGTGTATTTGCATTTAGGGGATGTGAGTAAATTCACACTTGTGCACGCTTGTTCGCATTGGGTACGTGCTGTGTATGAATCATGAGTGGTATATTGCTCGACGGCATGAAGTACAGACGATAACTTGGTCTGGTTACTTTGCACAGATGGATCGCATAAGGTAGGTCACTGTCCAGTTGGTTCTGAAACTGCTTTTTAGAGTGATCGATCAGTTAGTTGATTAGGGCAAGAGGTAAATGGTGACGGTCAGTTGGAGTTATACTGTCATCCGTGGACACTTCGAAGTTTGCGTCGGTTGGTGCATCCCGACTGCCTGGCTGGGGTCCTAAGGACGGTGAACACGTTTAGTTGGACACACTTGCTGATATGGCTCGGAGCCGTCACCAATGGCGTTTGTGTTGTGATTTCCTTTGCCCATCCCCCTCCTGTTTAGTATCCCCCTCCAATCACGATCTCACCTGTTGGGCATAATATGATGCCCTTTTTACGGCAGCCAGCTGTTAGCTCTCCGGAATGATGTGCATCCGTTACTGGGGACTCAGCGGGCGTGCCACTGTTTTCCATTTCTTTTATTTTGTATTGCGGCACAATAGCTGAGGTGTTTTCCACCTCCAGCTAACGTGTAATGATGATGATGATGATGATGTCATCCGTGGAACCATCTCCTGGGCATCTGCTTCCATACAGGGAAGTCCTCCGAAAGGATTCATCTGTGCTTCCACGCCCCATCGGGCCGTGTGTCGATCTGGCTGTGAAGCAAGTGAGCCAACACTGCATTACTTTCTCTCTGGGGCCGTTGTTATATGTATATAGAGTGAGCATTCAAATAATCTAACCCGTTCCACAGTTTACCTTTCTTGAGTCAGGGAGTTATTTTTGTGACAGTTCGCCTTGTACTGATTAGTTTGGGAGGGTCAATCCGTCACCTCTGGCCATCAGTGGATGACAAGGAAACTGCAGGGATAGAGTGCAATAACAACAGGTAGATGGGATGTTTTATTTCGTAGTAGGAAGCACCGGGCAACGATTCCGTTTGGACCCGGAGATTGAGGAAAGCAAATAGCCGTTCGAGGTGTTCATGAGCTAGTTAGGTCTTAGATGAAATATTCCTTAGATCTATTGGTGGCATGCAACGTTCGTGTTTCTCGGGCACAACCTTCTTATGCTAACGGTCTGAAAGAGCACATCGAATTACCGCATCAAAGGGCCTTTGATATGGAGAAGCATGGCTACTGTGTGTCCCAAATATAAGTGGCGTTGCTCCAGTGACCGGGATTGCTCTTCCGAAATGTGACTTCTACGGATGATGGGTGCAATTAACTTATAGACGATAGCGGTCAGACGGATTCCTCTATGGTTGCCTACTTTTGCTACCTACATGTCCGCTGTAGATGGAGATCAGACGAAACACTTTTGGCTTTGGTTTGGTGTTCCATTGCTACTGTGTTCACCGAGCTGGGTAGTTTGGTCGCAGACGTTTCATCACCAGTCGAGGTGATATCAGTGCGTAGAAATAAGCGCTTTCGTAGCAGAAGCTGGCGGAAGGGAAGTCCAGATATGGATGTCGCCATCTACTTCTGTATCGTTTGTGTAGAGTTTTGGAGTCATCAGCTATGGCTTTTTCTGTGCCATAGGCTGCCAAGCGTTGTTGCGACCTCGACGGAATTCTTGCTCTACGATTGGGGCCGGAGGCATAGAGACAGCGTCCTGGTTCCCAGGATGATCCGAGACTTGAAGGTGCTTCAGATACTCAGACTGAAGGAGCCTAGTCTCGCTTCCATAGAGTGGGACGGCTCTCTCTGTAGACACGGCATGTTAAACCGAGCGAAACCAACTTCTGACGCTACAGATATCGCAGGTTCAAGAAGACAGTTGTAGGTTTCGCAATACGTGACCTGATTTCAGTGGTTGTGCGTCCATCGTTGCTGATGCAGCTGCCATGGCAGTTGAAATGATCAACCATATCAGGTTCCTCGGTATCGAAGGCCAAGGCGTTATCAAGTTGTTGGTAGGCCTGCAACAATACCTAGCATTTTTAAGGTGCGTAGCGCATGCCAAATGGTGGGACCACTCCAGAGAGGTTAGTCAGGGTTGACTTGGTGGCCCCAACATTGTTACACATCAGGACATTCCCGTCGGTTTTATTAGTGGTTTTGTGTGTTTGTTGTGAGTCGATTGACGATGTGATGTTTCCTGTGTGTCTCTGTGATGTGTATCAGTTCTGAGTATGTTAATATTGTGTGCTTTCATTTGTTGTCCGTTTCAGCGTCATTTCGCGTGAATGAGGAAGCGGTTCAGGAACCGGCGGTGAGTATTTGTTTTACATTGTGGCAATGTGTTATGATGATGCCAGCGCTGTGTGTTGTTGTGGTTGAAGTGGATGTGTGTGTTGTTTGTGTTGTGTTGTATCTGTCTGTTTGCCCGTTGGTTTTTCTGTCTCTGTTTATTCTTTCTTTTGGGTTTTGTGATATTTTTGTTTTGTTCGCTGCTTTTTTTTGCATTCACTTTTCAATGGGTTTCCGTTTTTTGGGTGTATTTGTTCTTTGGTTTTGACCCCCTCTGTGTATGTGTATTTTTGTGTGTAGTTTGCCTTGTGCGTGCTATGGTCGTATGGGTTTGTCACATCTGCGTATCTCTTGCGTATTGTATGGCTGTTGGTGTCGTGGTTATGCGTAGGTCAGTATCGCTGCAAGATCTGTCGCGCATGAGTATTTGTTTGGTTTGTGTTCTCTTGTCGATGGTATGCGTGCGGTAGGTGTGTTTGCGCGTGGTTATGTGTGTAGAGTTCAGGTTATGTGTGGTGTGCACCGTTTGTTGTGCCTTTGTTACATGGACGCTGTAGGTGTGTTCAGGTAGTAATGTGTCTTTCCTTCATGTTCTGCTAACAGCGGCAGTCCCGGCGAATACTGCGAGGTCGTCGTAATCTGGTTGGATCTGGTGATTTGGCAGAAGGTGAGTATATTGTTAATTGTTGGGATTCTGTTATGTGTTTCGTTTGTTGCGACGTTTTGTGGTGGTCAGTTTGTTGCTTATTATGTCTGGCCCTCACTATTCAAGATTCCTCACCACTTCAGCTTGGGTTGGGAGTTTTGGTGGAATGGTCTTCATCCACATCGCTAATATTTGATGCTTCTAAATGCAGGACTGTATTATTTTTTTCGTTTTGTTAACTTGCATTCCCCCAGAGATTTCGCATCCACTTTAACAGTGAGCGAAAATCTCGTAGGCAGCGCTCATCTACGTTCAGGTATCTCGTTGTCTTTTGTTCGCAGAACCTTCCTTTGTCCATGCGTGCCTCTAAAACGTATTCAAAGTCGCAGAACGATATTTTTATGCTCTCAGACTTAGTGTTTTCAGTGCCTGGTACCTTAATAGTTAAGTTTTTGGCTTACATTAATTACCATTAGTCATACTGCTCTCCTGTCATTTTCTGTGTACCGCCTGAGAAAGACTGCATCTAATTGGTGCGATCTCTAAATCAGATTTATAGCTGCAGCGGTTTGTGTCGACATTCTTTAGTTGATTTGATCGTGTGCGGACATCTTGATACCTGCGATTATTTTTCTTCTAACTTGCTATCTGATTGATTTCATCCATTTCACAGTGTTCTTTCAACAATGCTCTCTTCCTTTTCGACGCATTCGGAAATCAGCATTCTCTTCTCCCGCACGTCATCGTATCGTAATACTGTCTTGCCTTATATATCACGTTTGCTTGTTGACGCAGTGAAAGTCATAAACATGCTACGTGAACGGTTGTTGGAGTGATAGTTGTACCTATTTCCATTTTCTCCCCAAATATGTGTATTGGTATTATCGTCCAGTTGTCCGCAGTGGTGGTGTAAATGCTGAAGAGGAATGCACTAAGGTTCATGAAGCTTGTTTCGACTTGATGTAGTTGTTGCGCTCGGGTTGCAGTTGTTATGTTTGTTATGTTTGTTTTAGCGTCTGACACGATTTATTTGCATGTGGTTTTGTTTCAGCGTCTCTGATGCAACTAAGCCTTGGTTCCTCAGAGGTATTGGATGTCGCTCGGTCATTGAGCAGTGCTGCTGCAGAAGGTACTGGAGCGTTGGCGGTGGAGTCGCGGCGATCTTCTGGTAAGACGATCTCACTGCTGCTTGCTATACTTTGGATCGCTTTTCCAGATATCTGAGCTTGTAGTCAGTGTGTGATTTGTCAGTATTCGGTCTCTCTGTTTTGCATGTGTGTTATTGTGTGTGTATTTTTATTGTACTTGCAACTGGAAGTTATATCGTTGTGCTATTTCGCGCCCTCACTTGATGTGGGTTGTGTGGAAATTTGAGAGGATGGTGTTTTTTAATGCGGCTATTGCATGACTCGTATTCATCATTTGTTTTTGCTGCATAGTCACATTGGAGCAGGTTTAGTGATGAATAGGGGCGAGCTGCTTTGAGATACGTGTGCTGATCGTGGAAAACGGTCACAGGCGGTGGATCCAACTTCGTGGTGCGTGTGTGCGTATATGGTGTTTTGGTTCCGTGGGAGCGTGAAGTTGAAGATGAGGGGGTGTAACATATTGTTGGTTGGTGGTGTTGTATGTTTGAGCCAGTTTGTGATGCAAATGATCACAAGCCTACCTTGTAATTCGAGAACGCGAGTTCGAGTCTGCGTATGGGACTGGGCGCCCATCGCAGTGTCCTTAGCCGATGCACGACTGTTGCGCGACATCGAAACGTAGGTGCTGCGTACCGGCGTACGGCTGATGCTTTATTTTGTTGTATGATAGTGCTAATGCTGGACTGTTTTAACATTTCCAAGGGTTTATGCTCGTGTCACGATGCAGAGTGAGGTTGTTACGTGTGCCTCGCGTCCTTACTGTTACTTTATTGAGGATTGACGAGGCTGAGACGAGCCTCACAGGAACTGTTCCGGGTCGTTGCGCGTCATAACGCATGTACCACTGCATGTTTGGCTGGGAGCGTGTTATCCTGGCGCTTGTTGCCTGTTCCATGGTGTTGTGGGGATTACACTTGTGGACTAGTGTATTTGGATGGAGCGGATGTGAGCAAATTTACACTTCTGCACGGTTGTTCGCATTGGATACATGATGCGTATGAATTATATGTGGGTCAGGCTATTAAGCCAACGGCTCCAAACGTAGTCCCTCAAGCAGACCTCCAAATCCTTCGCTGCCTTGTGGGTCAGGCTATTGGGCCAACGACCCCGGGGGGAGTCCCTCAAGCAAATCTTCGAAGCACAATCGCCACCTCACGTACGATTGCCCACCAATACAACCGTATGTTTGCACGCAAAGCACTCAGCATCGGGTGCTGGAACGTGCGCACACTACTGGACCGGAACTCCAGTGAGCGCCCCGATTGACGCACCGCACTGGTCGCGATGAAACTGGCGCGTTACCACATCGATATTGCGTCGCTCGGTGGAACTCGGCTCGCTGGGCAAGGTAAGTTGCATGAAGCAGGTGTTGCCTACACATTCTACTGATTGGGCAACGCCACCTCAGCACCACGTGATCATGGGGTCCGATTTGCACTATCCGATCGCCTCCATGGCCAGCTGGTGGGTGAACCAACGGGCATCAGCCCGCGACTGATGACTGTTCGCCTACTCAAGAGAGGTAAGTTTGCCACTTTTATAAGCACGTACGGTCTGACCATGTGTTGTCCTGATGACACGCGTGATCAATTCTACACTCAGCTATCCTCCGTGATACGGTCTGTGCCGAGGAGTGACTGACTATTTCTGCTGCGTAATTTCAACGCGCGCGTGTGGACTGATGTTATCGTCCGCATGGTATTGGTTCGGCGAATGCGAACGGTGACAGGCTGCTCTCACTGTGGGCCACTCAGGGCCTGACGATCGCGAACACCCGGTTTGCACTGAGTGCGGGTGATATAGCAACTTTGAAACACGCCATGGATATCAAATCAAACACGCCATCGATATCAAATCAAACACTTGAGAGAGAGCACCTAAACTAATCGCTTATCTGGCACAGGTTGGGAAGATGCAGTTCCATAAGCACTATTTTCTTACCGAACCGCACACCGCCGAGCCGCAGACAAAACGCCAGCTGAATTCCTACTAGGGCGTGCCCTTCGGACAAAGTTGAATGCTGCACTTCTGATTCCTGCAACTAATAATTCCGACGAGTTAGGTCGTCGCCATCGATATCAGATCACTTACAGGAAGCTTACTACTCCGCTCCAGTCCGGAGCATTCGTGCGCATGAAGGTAAACGCTGCATTCAACGGACAGCTTACGTTATCAGATCCGATAAGAATAACGCGCGCATGTGGGCCAGGCACTTGCCGGCTGGAAGATGGCCGCACAGTCAACTCACGGAGGTTATTCACAAGTAACAGACGAACAGAGTACCAACAACCTTCATTGACGAAACTACGCGAAGCACGCAGCTCCGCAGGACGGGCCGAGAACCAAGACTGCCGAATCAATATGGTTTCGACGCATTATATGAGTAAGCGGAGATGTGATGTTGTGTATTCGGTCAGACTGCTTGACGGCTAGTCTAGACAGACACGTGCACACAACCCCAGACATACACGCACAAATGCATATTTCTCCGCTTCCCTATTGGTTCATCCTTCTCCTTGTGCACTTTAATGTACCCACATAGTTAGACACTTCTCAGATTACAGTAGTTTGTTTACCGAAGCGATCTTCTTACTTCGTTTCGTGCACTTGATTTTTCGTACACAACACCAGACGTTCCTGTTCTCCTTCTCAACATCTTTATCCTGTCCATGACAAGCCACAAATTCCCCGCTGCGTGGAAGCACGCAATAGATTCGCCACGCCACAAATCTCGTTTCCGTCTAAACACAGACAATTATTGTCTCATTAGTCATACACCCATCACTTCATGGGTGATGGGAACTCATTTTTCTTTTGCTTCAAAACCTCATTAACAGAGCTCAACACGGATTCCTGCCTTCCAAATCCTGTCAGAAATGCAGTTCCTGAACACCATGGCAAATGAAATGATTTTGGGGCGTTTGGTAGTCCTCGTTTTCCTTAACATGAAAAAGGCATTTGACCGAGATCTACCGACTAAACTCGCATCATATAATATATGCAGCAGACTTCTCTCTTAATTCTCCTCTTTTTTATTATATTGAACACAGTCTGTCACTACGTCTTGCCGAAAACCGGTCATCAATGAAGTCTTCTGACGGAGTGTCCTCGGCCTCCTGTTGTTTTTAATTTACATAACGAAGTATTCCAGGATTTCCGCTTGGGTGCGCCAAAGGCATTCGCGGACAACAGCGGGGTCGTACTCTCGTTCTACCCAGATGACATAAGCGATAGGCCATCCTACATACAAGTGGACCTTAACGTGGTGCAACCGTTTGGGTACTTCTTCGACCCATTGAGCAATACCATGTAGTGCCCCCGAGCTCCTTGAGAGCTACTTCTACCAGGTTGGTCAATGGTTAGATGTCAGACATACTCAGTCTCCTCGTTCTCCAGCTTGGGGGTTTGAAATAGGATGGCATCCATTTCTGTAAAACTAAACCATTGGCAACTTTCTGCTGCGTTGCAGACAAGTTTTTGAGCCAAAGGTTTTACCTGAGGACCTTAATCGTTCTCCTGTCTAGGTCTGGGCGCCCTGGCTTTATCGCACCCCACGTGCAACCCTGACTTTTCCTTCAAACTCCAATCATATCCGGCATCGGTCGTCGCGCAGTTTCTCAAGGGTCGCCTCATCCGCTGCGTACAGCAGGGCTGATAAGCGAAAACATGCTGCTGCTGGCATCTTCATCCTTTCTTTTCCCTCTGTTTCTCTTACTCCCTTCCCAACCGTCACTACTAACCTACCTTCTATAGTTCCCAGCTGCATTGAAAGCAGCTGTAATGCCACTTGAGTCGAAGCATCTGCAGCTCCCTTTCCGCATCACTCACAGTCCCTTATAAGGCCACGCTGTCTTGCGTTCAACGTTCGCATTCAATGACAAACAAGTCAACAGGCTACACTCGCACATATGTTGGACACACCGGATATTGACATGTGTGTGTGTGTGTGTCCGGAACTAGGATAAATGACCCCAATGGGGTTGAATTACTTGCACCCCGATTATCCTCTTTATTGGTTGCACGCATCCAGAGACACTGATATGGCAGCCTTAGGTCAAGCTAGGCTAGGTATCGTACTCAGCGCCAGTGCTGAGTCATCGTTGGTTGACTGGATTCTGGTGAACAGCCGTTTGTGTGCGGCCCGTTTGATGACATCGACTAAGGCTGATTCACGGAGTATTACAATATGCTGTTTGTTTGTGGTTTCCGCTTACGTTCCCACAGATTGCAGTTCTAATGCTGCCAAGCACATACACTACCACGAAATGATCACGCTGCTAGTCAGTTACCATTTCAGGTACCTTTGTTCTTGCATGGGATATGAATGCATAGGTAGGTCATTTGGGCTCTTCAGAAGCTCAGCTAGGTGGCAATTATGTTCTTAACTCCAAACAGACGAACAAGAGAGCTCTGTTGCAACTGTGTGCAGAATACCAATTGTGTCTGAGTAGCACCGCTTCTAATCATAGTGGGCATCGAAGTGCCATTTGGCGTCCTCCTGTAGTTGGCCAGCAATGGATCCAAATAAACCACGTTGCTATAAGTTACAGGTGACGTGGTTCCATCCTGTATTGCCGCTCTTATTGGATGAGTTGTGTCGACTCTGATAATGCCTTGGTACGCTGTCGACCTCCTCCTCAGTGATGAACGTGACGACTGGTTCATCGTTGTCGCGAGGTGGGTGTGTTTTTATGTCGTGCTTTGTAGCGGTGAGGCGACGCATGTTTATCCTTTGTACTTTCTTCTCTTTTTGTCTTTTCTTGCACGCTGTGTGTTGCTTCATTCTTAGCTCTGTGTATTTCACTTTACTTTTCGTGTTGTGTATTGTTTTCCTTCTACAAACATTTTTCTTTTTTATTGCTTACCCTTTTTCGTCGTTTCTCTCTTGCGAACCCTCTGAATTTTCCTTATCTGCGCCTGATTTGTGCCTGTGGTAGGGTCTTTCTACTTTCTGGGCTGTTTTCCCTTAACCGTCATGTACTTATTTTACGTGTTATCTGTGCTTTCAGTTATTCTTCTAGTGTATTTTGACTTTTCAGCCGAGTCGTCGGTCACTGCTTCGATTTTGTCACGGATGTTTGTTTCATGCTGTGGTGATCTGTGGTTCTCGGTTTGTGTTTGCTGCTGTCGGTCTCATCGTTTCCGCGAGTTTTCGTTTGGGTTTTTGACGCCTCCTTTCGTATGACCCTTTCGTTC